TGGTTTTACAATATTCTACACTCCCCCTCAATCTAGGTTCCATATATGTTGAGTAAGTCTAAAATTGGATATTAATTCATTGAATGATCCCTTTGCTAGTGTATTTGTGAGAATATCTGTTGTTTGTTGTCTAGTAGGAATATGTAACAGAGTGATGGAATGATTTTCAATTTTTTCTATGATGAAGTGCCTATCTATTTCCACGTGCTTAGTTCAATCATGGTATACAGGATTTCTAACTATATTGATTGTAGATTTGTTATCACACCATACTTTCATAGGAGTAGTGACCAAAACTTTTAATTCCATCAAAATCCTTTTCAACCAAATACCTTCACATATTCTATGAGCAAGTGATCGGAATTCAGCTTCTGCACTATTTCGTGATACAACAGATTGTTTCTTGCTGCACCAAGTAACTAAATTCTCCCAAACATAAGTACAATACCCAGAAGTAGATCTCCTGTCAGTCACAGACCCTGCCCAATCTGCATCTGTGTAAACTTCAATATCTCTGTTCATGATTTTCTGGAAGAGTAATCCATGCCCTGAATTCTTTTTAAGGTACCTTAAGATTCTGTATACTGCATTCATGTGATCCTCGGTGGGTTGATTTATAAATTGACTTACAGTATTTATCGCAAAAATGAGTTTGCCCACAAATCTTTGATACCTTTCTTTATCAATAGGTTTACCCTATAGTTTGACCCCAAGTTTGGCAGTTGGCTCCATAGGTGTTTTTGCTGGTTTACACCCAAGCATTCCTGTTTTTTTCAAGAGGTTAAAGACATATTTCCGCTGTGATACAGATATTCATTTTTTAGATCGAGCAAATTCCATTTCAAGAAAATACCTGAGTATTTCGAGATCTTTGATCTCAAATTTTGTAGCAAGAAAGGCTTTGAGTTTTTGAATCTCCTCTATGTGATCTTCTGTTAAAATGATATCATCCACATATATAATTAGAACGGTTTTCTTACCAGAGGTACAATGCTTGACAAATAGGGTGTGATCAGACTGGCACTGCTCGTAGCTCACATGTTTCATTGCCTTGGTGAATCTATCAAACCAAGTTCTCGGAGACTGTTTTAATCCATAGAGTGACTTTTTGAATTTACATATCCTGTGTGAGTCATATGACATCTCAAAACCTAATGGAACTTTCATGTAGACTTCTTCTTCTAAGTCGCCATTGAGAAAGTCGTTTTTCACATCAATCTGATAGAGAGGCCAATCAAGATTAGAAACAAGTGAGAGTAATACCCGAATAGTATTGTGCTTAGCCACAAGAGCGAATGTCTCCTAATAGTCTATCCTATACGACTAAGTGAAGCCTTTAACCATTAGGCGAGCCTTGTATCGATTCACACTCCCATCCAGATTGTATTTTGTAGTAAAGATCCACTTGCATTCTACTTTACACTTTGCTGGAGGCAAGTCTGTCAATTCCCAAATCTCATTTTTTTCTAGAGCCCTTATTTCTTCTTGAATAGCATCTCTCCATTTTAGCAATGTGAGTGCCTCATGAACATTTTTTGGTTCGATAAGACTGTTGTCTAATTTGCTCACAAAAGCATAATACTTTGACGACAAATTGCCAAATGAGACATAATCCTGTATAGGGTGTTTAGTGCAAAACCGAATATCTTTCCGCATAGCAATAGATAACTCAGTGTCATGATCAAATATTGCAATAGTATCAAAAATTATGGTAGAATCATTACCTGTTGTGTCCTCACTACTAGGTACAGGAATAGATTCATGACAGTGCGTGATTGATTCGGGCACTTTATCAACTGGAGCTTTATTCCTTCTAGTGTAGACACGTAGCTCGAACTCTTTGTTACTAGTTTCACTCATAGATTCAGGGAACTCAGGAACAACAGAAGCAGGTGAGATGTTAGGGGACATGAGAGGAACAACAGAAGGAGGTGATATGTTAGGGGACAAAAGAGGAGATGTGTTCATATTCCATAATTGATATTCATGAATAAAATGCTCCCCCTGAATATCACTAGTAGGATAGAAAAGTTGATTTTCAAAAAAATGTAACATTTATAGTGTTGTAGAAGTGATGGGTTCCCAGACAAAACATTTGCATCCTTTCTGATTGGGTGAGTATCCAACAAAGATACATTTTAGGGATTTTGGATCAAGTTTTCTTCTGAAGTGAGTATGAACGTGGACATAGGTCGAATAGCCAAAAACTTTAATAGGAAGGGTACTTAGAACATGGGAGTGGGGAAAGGCTTGTAGTAAATTGTCATAGGGTGATTGAAAATTGAGTATACAAGAGGACATTCGGTTTATTAAGTATGTGGCTGTGAGTACTGTCTCTCCCCAAAGATATTTCGGGACATGGGTAGTGAATATGATTAATTGGACAATTTTAAGGATATGTCTATTTTTTCTTTCAGCAACATCATTTTGTTGTGGGGTGTTTACACAAGAGTTTTACTGAATAATGCCCTTATCACAAAGGCATTTTCCTAATGTGATTTCAAAATATGCACATCCATTATCAAATTTCAACACTTGTATATTGGTATGAAATTGATTTTAAATCATAGTGTTGAATTGTTGAAAAATTGGTCCAACTTCAGTTTTTTCTTTCATGAGAAAAATACAGATAATTCTGATGTGGTCATCAATAAATGATACAAACTATTTTGTTCCGGTGATATTCATAACCCGTGAGGGACCCCATACATCATTATGAATTAATAAAAATGGTTTTGAAGGTTTGTAAATCAAATTTGCATATGAGTTTCTAATGTGTTTAGAAAATTGACACACCTCACACTAGAATGAAATTGGATTTTTGTTCCAAAACAAAGTTGGAAATAATTTTTTCAGATTTAAGAAATTTGGATGTCTTAAGCGATAATGCCATAACATGATGAAACTTTTACTATTCAAATGGCTTACAGATTCAGAGTTTGTACATACTGCATGGTGAGTTTGTCCATTAGAAGGAGTTCTATTAGCTTATAGGAGGTATAGGCCAAAATCCACCCTAACATTACCAATCGTCTTCCCCGAGTCCAAGTGCTGAAATTTACATAAATTTAAGTTAAACTTAACAACACAATGCAAACCTTGAGATAATTTGCTTATTGATAAAAGATTGCAATTCAACTTCGGGACATAGAGTACTAAATACAAAGTCAACCACGGTGACACAACAATTGATCTCGTCCTTGCCACTTTAGAAATTGACCCATCGGCAATCTGAATGATGAAATCCTCCTTCCACTAATATAATTTTGAAAGAGTGACATCTCTTCTGTCATATGATCCGCACCCTAGAGTCTACAATCCACATTTGCCCTTTTGTGGAATAAGCTGAAAAAACAATTAAACTTTTACATTTGTGTGCAGTGGAGGCATTACCAATGGTCTTTTGGCAAAAAAGCTTCTGCAACACCTCCATCTGCTTGGGGCTGAAAGGAGAAGCTTCTGTGGGAGCTACACGTGAGTCCTCTGTCATCATAAGGTTGCCCTGAGGTGGTTTCGGCTTTGAGGTCTTTTTGTTATTTGGTTTTCCGTGGAACTTCCAGCATTTCTCACGGTAGTGACCTGCTTTTCTGCAAAATTCGCACCAAGGTCTTTTTTCCTCCCTTGAAAATCAGTTGTCCGAATTGTAAGAGCAGCAGTGGTCTCAGTTTGGTGTGCGCCAAACTAGGGTTCACCTATAACTGCTTTCTTCCGAGCCGTGAGGGCTAAAACAATTCATGTTGGATCAAAGTGAGCTTCTCCTAACATGACCATCCTCCTGCTTTCTTCACGGCAAACTTCAGAGAACGTCTCTCGAATGCTCGGCAGCGGCTTGGTGCCCAGAACATGATTGCGTACTTCATCCAAATTCTTATTCAAACTCATTAAGAATTTGAAGATGCACTTTTGTTCGATGATGGTCTTAAACAACTGTGCGTCTTCGGGGCAACTCCATTAACGTTCTTCGAAAGCGTCAAGCTGTTGCCAATTCCGGGTGAGGGAGTTGTAGTACTGGGTCATTGTCAACTCTCCTTGTCGCAGGTCGTGGAGATGAGTTTCTATCTCGAAGATGGCAGACGTGTTGTCACGGCTGGAGCATAATTCACGAGCGGCTTCCCAGATGTCTTGCGCTGTCCTGTACAACAGGAAGTTCTCTCCAATTTCGGTGGTCATGGAATTCACTAGGCAGGACATGACGAAGCTATTCTCCACCTTCCATGAACGAGCACTTGGGTCATTGGCAGGAGGTGCTGAGAGTTCTTCGGTGAGATATTTGTCTCTGCCTTTTCCTCGGATGAACATCAACACAAACGATGACCATTGGAGATAATTGCTTCCATTTAATATGTGCCCAGTGACGAACAAAGGAGTCTGATCAAACCAGGGTGTGGTTTATTGGTACAGGAAGGTGGGATTTCGAAAGAACTTTGGGAGGAGAGGACGTTCGCTCATCCGTGGCCATTTTACGCGAACGGGATGATTTCGGATCAGGTATGCTCTGACACCATGAAGTTTTTTGAGAATGGGAAAATCCTCAAAATTTTCCTCTTGTCTCTTTCATTCATTTGATTGCCATTATATAGGCAGATAAAGGAGAAAAAACAAAGAAAAATATAACAAACTTCCTCAACATAAGGAATAAACGTAAAATGCCAAAGGGCATCCTCAGCAGCCATACCTGACACCTGCACAAAGAGACAAAAAAGGAGAATAACAGAAGAAAAGATAAAATGGTAAAAAGGAAAGGGAGAGACTGGTTTTATAATATTTCTACAACAATTTTGAAAATGATCCATTTTATAATTTTACGTAAGCTACTACTGCATTTTTAACCAGGGAAGATAAAACATTTAACTCTGATATTCAACAAAAGGGGAAACTGCACTGGCCCAACAACATAATTTCTAGAAGAGATACCAGATTTAACCCCTTTTTTATTCATCTCGTCATAAATGGCTTTTGCTTCATCTAACCGCCCAGCCTTAGAAAGACCATCCATCAATAGACAGTATGGCATCTGCAAAATTCAGTAACATGTATAAGCTTAAAAAGTTTATCTATAAAGATAAAGTTCCGAGTAAACTACCTAGGATTCTGAATCATCAACTACCAAAGAATTAAGCCATTTTTTATCTTCCATGGACAAGCAAAAATGTTTATAAAGTTAACTGCACAAATAATCAATATGACAGATTGTAGATAAGCAAAAAGGCAATAGCTTTTTCCTTAAACCCTTCATTTGGATTAGCAAATTGCACTTTCTACTTCCACATGAAACACTACTCGGCAGCAATACCACAGTGGACATTGTTGAAGCATAAGATATAAGTGCTCCTACTTAAAATCCATATGCCTACAGGTACCTTTTGAGCTTTGCCATGGTATCTTACGAGAGTAAACTTTTTTTTTAATGTAAATTTACCTATAGCGGCGAGCATGACGCCATGGTCAGGTGCACCTTGTGCTCCACATGCAGCTCAGCACGCCCAACCATGGGGACCAAGGGAGCCATCATACATACAATTAAGCGTCTATGAAACTGATACAGTTTCTAATTCTAATCTGATAGTGCAATTTCCCGTTAATCTTAACGTGATATGGCTAAGATTACATGGCATCCATCACTAAGGCACATAACATTGGCCCAAAGCAAATTTCTAAAATCAGTGTCCATAGATCAATATAATCTATAGTCATCTTCAATAAATATGGGAATGGTATCTAACATGACTAATGTACCTCATCTTCAGCATAGTGCAAATCTTCTAGTTCAGCCAATAATTCTCTGGACTTTTCAAACAAGCCTCCCCTGACATATACCTTCAGCAAAGTTGTCAGGATTACCTGTAAACATTTGCAGATGAACATTTAGGGTAGTAAAAAAAATGAAAGAGAAATATGTCAAGTAAAATGGTCCAAAGCACATAATTAGAGCATATGCAAAACCTATATGTGCTAAGGTTCTGGGATTGAGGGCAGATATAAACCACAGAACAGGGATACAGAAAACATTTAGGAACTAGTTACGCATGAAAGCACTTTTTCAAATAGGCATTTGTTAAAGCCGTAAATAATAATAACGGGGATACATGAAAACAAACCTTATTTGGTTCTATGCCTGAAGCTCTCATATTTTGCACCAATTCATCAGCTTTCTTGTAGTCTCCATCAAAGGAGTAAGAATTGAGCAAAGAGCTATAGTGGTAAATATTGGGCATATGACCTTCAGCCTTCATCCGGTCAAAAAAGCTTTGAGCTTCTTCACATCTATTGTGTGAAGCACATATAGCCAATAGTGTGCCAAACATCATGCTGTCCATCTGCAGCCCTTTATTTTTTAACTCCTGAATCAGCTCTAATGCCTTAGAGTATCCATTTTGGCCTTTCATGCAGCCTGCAAGCAGCTAAAGATGACAAGAAACCCATAGCAACAAGGCAAGTAATGCAGAGAAGAGACTAAAACAACACGAAGCAGAATGTATCAAAGTGTTCCCAATAAATCAAGGAGAATAATGAAATATCAATAATGAGATAGGATATGAAATTTCATCTGATTCATAACTCTACTATAAACTTCTCAATTATATTAAAATCTAAAGTATGGAGTTGAATGTTGTTTAACTTGATAACTTCTCTCATATTTTCTTATACTTGAGTATTATCAGTTTCTATTCTCTTGTATGGATTTGTTACACTTCTTTAAGAAATGTCTTCAACATCTTTGCCTCCGACGTTAAACATTTGAACGTGTAAAAATTAAACTAAACATAAAACCAAAGGCTGGACTCTTATTCCTAATAAATCTGCTGGACATTGGCATTCTAATTAAAGTTGACACTATCCCACAGCTAGAGAGTGATTTTCATAATTTACTCTCCTAAAATGTTAGGAACCCTTGACATGTCTTAGCAGCAGTTAGAAGATAGAAATAGTCATTGAGAGATGAAGCGGAGAAAGAAGAGAGTAGCAGATGAATCACAGCAAGAGAGAACAAGATGAGGGAATTAATGAAAGTCAAATGATTATTGCAGTGTACTTTCATTAGATTGTTTCCAGAATGAGTACAATTCAGCCATACCTAGCCCTATCTAGCTTCTTCCTCCTTCAATAACAAGAAATTCCAGTAACAGAAAAAACAGAAGAATTGAATGCAAAAGATAACAAATGCAAGAAATAAGGAAGTAAGAAATATTTTAACTACTGCAGAGTTAACCAGTACTTATACTAAATCATTTAACATCACCAAAAATTTAACAGCTGGGTAAACACATGCCTCCTCCTACTAATCATTATTGACCTGTAATCAGGTCCTGACATCTCTCTCCTCTTCAACATCAACCTTGTCCTCAAGGTTGTCCATCAACCAGCACTAGAACTCAATTAGCTTCTTCCTCAAAAGGCACATCAAAAGCTAGGATATCCTTGAAGGAAGAGAAATTTGTGCTAGCCTTTTCCTCAATGGTAATCATATGTTTCGCGATAATACTCTGTTGAGACAGCCTATGAAAACCAATGGCAATTTTCACACACAACATGGTGGTAGACATAACAATGAAGATACTGCCTATCAAGGGAACCAAAAGGATATAAATTCCATCTTGGTATTTATGATGCTGGATCAATTACATGACGAAGGTCTCCACTAGCATAACACTGAAATGGAGCAAATATAGAAGCTGTCAATGGCTATAAGCACCTCACGGAAGTGACCAACTTGGTTGATGTATCTCTAAGATGTCCAGCCTTTTCAAAGAAGATATGACACTGGTAGCTGTAACAACCACCTAATTTCACATTGTTTGCAAGTATAGCTAGAGAACAATTCATTTCCTGAGTTCTTGTAACAAAAAGAACAGTTACTGCACATCCTTTTATCATAGCTTGAAACAAGCTACTAAGATGCTGCTCTTTTACCCCCAACACATGGTAGTGCATCAATCTCCTTTTTTCCACATCAATCGTTGACTCATCAATTGGT